TAGTATCGTTTTACAGTAACCGTTTAGTATCGTTTTACAGTAACCGTTTAGTATCGTTTTACAGTAACCCTTTAGTATCGTTTTACAGTAACCCTTTAGTATCCTTTTACAGTAACCGTTTAGTATCGTTTTACAGTAAACGTTTAGTATCGTTTTACAGTAACCCTTTAGTATCCTTTTACAGTAACCGTTTTCGCTGTAACCTCTCACCCCTGAACTAATGTTCATAGGTGGATCGGGCCGCTGGGAGGGTCTTTGCTCCTGTGTGAAACGTTAATCTATAAACGTGCCCAAACCCAAATAAAGCTATCACTTTTTGAACGATTTCTTCAAACGTTGAATCCGTGTTGTGTCTAGTTAAGCCATAATCAATAACATTTAATTGAAAAGGTAAAGAATACCTTCAGTGGTTCACATTAGCTTTCTACACATCGGTATACACACACACACACACACCACTTCTGCACCAATACAGATATCTTTATGATTGTATGATTGTTTATGAACAGTTTGTGAACAGTCAGTGGTGGCCAAATGGTTGTTGGTAAATTGTCAGTAGTAGCCTATTGTGATGCGCATGTGCTTGTAAGACGAGGTCGGGTTTTTTTTTAATTCCTGACACTAGTTCTCTAAATGTTGGCCCACTAGTTCTCTAAATGTTGGCCCACTCGTTCTCTAAATGTTGGCCCACTCGTTCTCTAAATGTTGGCCCACTAGTTCTCTAAATGTTGGCCCACTAGTTTTCTAAATGTTGGCCCACTAGTTCTCTAAATGTTGGCCCACTAGTTCTCTAAATGTTGGCCCACTAGTTCTCTAAATGTTGGCTCACTAGTTCTCTAAATGTTGGCCCACTAGTTCTCTAAATGTTGGCCCACTAGTTCTCTAAATGTTGGCCCACTAGTTCTCTAAATGTTGGCCCACTAGTTCTCTAAATGTTGGCCCACTCGTTCTCTAAATGTTGGCCCACTAGTTCTCTAAATGTTGGCCAACTAGTTCTCTAAATTTTGGTCAACTAGTTCTCTAAATGTTGGCCCATTACACTGCCACTAGTTCTCTAAATGTTAGCCCACTAGTTCTCTAAATGTTGGCCCACTAGCTCTCTAAATGTTGGCTCACTAGCTCTCTAAATGATTGGCCCACTAGTTCTCTAAATGTTGGCCCACTAGTTCTCTAAATGTTGGCCCACTAGTTCTCTAAATGTTGGCCCACTAGTTCTCTAAATGTTGGCCCACTAGTTCTCTAAATGTTGGCCCACTCGTTCTCTAAATGTTGGCCCACTAGTTCTCTAAATGATTGGCCCACTAGTTCTCTAAATGTTGGCCCACTAGTTCTCTAAATGTTGGCCCACTAGTTCTCTAAATGTTGGCCCACTAGTTCTCTAAATGATTGGCCCACTAGTTCTCTAAATGTTGGCCCACTAGTTCTCTAAATGTTGGCCCACTAGCTCTCTAAATGTTGGCTCACTAGCTCTCTAAATGATTGGCCCACTAGTTCTCTAAATGTTGGCCCACTAGTTCTCTAAATGTTGGCCCACTAGTTCTCTAAATGTTGGCCCACTCGTTCTCTAAATGTTGGCCCACTAGTTCTCTAAATGATTGGCCCACTAGTTTTCTAAATGTTGGCCCACTAGTTCTCTAAATGTTGGCCCACTAGTTCTCTAAATGTTGGCCCACTAGTTCTCTAAATGATTGGCCCACTAGTTCTCTAAATGTTGGCCCACTAGTTCTCTAAATGTTGGCCCACTCGTTCTCTAAATGTTGGCCCACTAGTTCTCTAAATGTTGGCCCACTAGTTCTCTAAATGTTGGCCCACTAGTTCTCTAAATGTTGGCCCACTAGTTCTCTAAATGTTGGCCTATTAGTTCTCTAAATGTTGGCCCACTAGTTCTCTAAATGTTGGCCCACTAGTTCTCTAAATGTTGGCCCACTCGTTCTCTAAATGTTGGCCCACTAGTTCTCTAAATGTTGGCCCACTAGTTCTCTAAATGTTGGCCCACTAGTTCTCTAAATGTTGGCCCACTAGTTCTCTAAATGTTGGCCCACTAGCTCTCTAAATGATTGGCCCACTTGTTCTCTAAATGTTGGCACACTAGTTCTCTAAATGTTGGCCCACTAGTTCTCTAAATGTTGGTCCACTAGTTCTCTAAATGTTGGCCCACTAGTTCTCTAAATGTTGGCCCACTAGTTCTCTAAATGTTGGCCCACTAGTTCTCTAAATGTTGGCCCACTAGTTCTCTAAATGTTGGCTCACTAGTTCTCTAAATGTTGGCCCACTAGTTCTCTAAATGTTTGCCCACTCGTTCTCTAAATGTTGGCCCACTAGTTCTCTAAATGTTGGCTCACTAGTTCTCTAAATGTTGGCCCACTAGTTCTCTAAATGTTGGCCCACTAGTTCTCTAAATGTTGGTCCACTAGTTCTCTAAATGTTGGCCCACTAGTTCTCTAAATGTTGGCCCACTAGTTCTCTAAATGTTGGCCCACTCGTTCGTTCTCTAAATGTTGGCCCACTAGTTCTCTAAATGTTGGCCCACTAGTTCTCTAAATGTTGGCCCACTCGTTCTCTAAATGTTGGCCCACTAGTTCTCTAAATGTTGGCCCACTCGTTCTCTAAATGTTGGCCCACTAGTTCTCTAAATGTTGGTCCACTAGTTCTCTAAATGTTGGCCCACTAGTTCTCTAAATGTTGGCCCACTAGTTCTCTAAATGTTGGCCCACTAGTTCTCTAAATGTTGGCCCACTAGTTCTCTAAATGTTGGCCCACTAGTTCTCTAAATGTTGGCACACTAGTTCTCTAAATGTTGGCCCACTCGTTCTCTAAATGTTGGCACACTAGTTCTCTAAATGTTGGCCCACTAGTTCTCTAAATGTTGGCCCACTAGTTCTCTAAATGTTGGCCCACTCGTTCTCTAAATGTTGGCCCACTAGTTCTCTAAATGTTGGCCCACTAGTTCTCTAAATGTTGGCCCACTAGTTGTTGGCCCACTAGTTCTCTAAATGTTGGCCCACTAGTTCTCTAAATGTTGGCCCACTAGTTCTCTAAATGTTGGCCCACTAGTTCTCTAAATGTTGGCCCACTAGTTCTCTAAATGTTGGCCCACTAGTTCTCTAAATGTTGGTCCACTAGTTCTCTAAATGTTGGTCCACTCGTTCTCTAAATGTTGGCCCACTAGTTCTCTAAATGTTGGCCCACTCGTTCTCTAAATGTTGGCCCACTAGTTCTCTAAATGTTGGCCCACTAGCTCTCTAAATGATTGGCCCACTTGTTCTCTAAATGTTGGCCCACTAGTTCTCTAAATGTTGGCCCACTAGTTCTCTAAATGTTGGCCCACTAGTTCTCTAAATGTTGGCCCACTAGTTCTCTAAATGTTGGCCCACTCGTTCTCTAAATGTTGGCCCACTAGTTCTCTAAATGTTGGCCCACTAGTTCTCTAAATGTTGGCCCACTAGTTCTCTAAATGTTGGCCCACTAGTTCTCTAAATGTTGGCCCACTAGTTCTCTAAATGTTGGCCCACTAGTTCTCTAAATGTTTATTTCAAACTTTCCAGATACGTTCCACTTAGATGACAATGCAAGTTTATCTATTTTCTTTTTTTAAAATAGCCTTCGATAGATCGACCGGTTCTACGATTGTAAACATTCTCGTGAACCATAGCTCACCAGATTGTTAGGGTTATCGCGTTTATCTTGTTATCTCCTCTTCAGTTATTGCATATAGTAATCTATGTAGTGATATAATTTTGTTTCTACCCGAAAATTTTAATGACTAAAACATCTAATTAAATTAAGAAATATAAATATAATTGTATTGTAGTCTTCTAGTCGAAGTGGAACGTATCTGGAAAGTTTGAGCGAAATCGCTGCATTGGAAGTGGGTCAAAATTGAGTTACAAGATTTGCCACAGACAGTGATTAAATTTTGTTATCTTCCCTTAGTGCCGAAACCGTTTAATTAATTTTAATGACTAGGGGTCATCCATAAATGACGTCACGCTTTTTTTGACGATTTTTACCTCCCCCCTCCCCTCCGTCACACTTCGTCACAAAAAGCCAGACCCCCCCCCCTAAAATGACGTCACACCTCAACCTACAACCCCCCTCAAAATTGCAGTTGAATTTTTTTTAAACATTGATATTTTCCCAAAATCTTGTCTAAACTATTGCAATTTATTAAAAGTTATCTAAAACGCGAAATAACGTCTAAAATTCGTTTTCTAACATTGCTTTTTTATAATGCAAAAATGTGACGCCGCAACATCTGACCCCCCCCACCCCTCCCCCTCATCGTCACAAAATTACGGACCCCCCCCCTACGAGTGTGACGTCATTTATGGATGACCCCCTAATGAAACTTCTAATTAAATTAAAAATAGATAGAATTTTATTGTCATCGAAGTGGAGCAAACTCTAGCTTTTTTTTTTGTAAGACTGGTTTTCATAGGTTGTCCCACCTTTAAAAAAAATTAACATCCCCTATGAAATTTATATAATTTATATAGAAAATATATACTTTTAACTAACAGTGTGTCCCCCCCCCCCCCCCCCCCGAAGATTTCAAGTAGTGCCCCCCCGGAGAAAAAAGTCTGGAAGAAACACTGGTTATGTAATGGTCTTAAGAGAGACTGTTACTCAACGGCAGCTCTTCCTCAAATTGAAATGTATTCTTTTTTTCAATTTAGTTGCATTAATGATGAAAAATAACCTATATACTATATGACTTATACTATACTATTGTCCATATTAGTGATTTCCCCAACCCCACCCCCACCGCTCACTGCTCGAAAGCTAAAGTTAAAAAAAAAGCATGGAGATTATTTTTATGAACATCCGGTAGGAACCATTACTCTGTTCCGTTTTAATTAATTTAACTATGAGAGTTACTTTCTCCTACGTTAGGCAGTGGGTTACCTTTCCATGCATTGATTCTTGAGACCCTATAATATTTTGTAAACTAATTTAGGCCCCATAAAGACTATTTTACAGCACCAACAGTGAGTTCTACGTATTTTGAATACTTTGAATTTACACCGGAAATGCTATCTTAAAACATGTTAGATCTATAAGTTAAAAAGAATAGTTTTCAAGAAATTCTTACTGTAGTTCTTTTTCTGAGTAGTTCATTGAAATTTAAAGTAAAAAAAACAAAAAAGCAAGCATGCATAGCCATAGTGAGCATAGGCATGCATAGTGAGTTGTTGAATCTAACTAAACTAAATGAATAATTTTTAATTAATATCAGCCTTAGGCCTAGTAAATAAACATTAAATACTAATAAATAAATAGTAAATAGGCCTAAATACTAAATGAAAAGACCAAATAATCAAATAATGAAATATTCAAATATTATTTGGGTCTAAGAGTACATAAATACATAAGCAATAAAGATTTCGATGATTATAGATACAGGTGTCTGATAATAGACTCTTCCATAAAATAGGTGTGTTGGGTTGTAATTGTTAGTAGTATTGAAATTTCGACTTATTTTATGGTTAGAAAAATTAGGGTTAGGCGTATGGTAGGACCAAGGTTAGGGTTAGGGACAGGGTTAGCATTGACATTAGCATTAGCCAGCCATGTGTGTATTTAGACTTTAGTTAACTACCAGTAACCGAACAACCCTTTTTTAAAGAAGATTCCATTATAATTGGACACCAGTATAAACATTCCCCCGATTTTGAGATAGTGATGATAGGCCTGCCCAAGGTCTAGAGAATCCCCCCCCCTCCCCATACAGAAATTTTGTGACCCTTAAAGTCTTAAAGAAACCTTAAGCTGATTTTCTTTACCTAGGTCAGTGGTTCTTAGCCTTTTTGGAGGTACCAAATCTGTCAGCTTCATATGCACATTCAATAAACTCTAAATCATTCTTAAATAATAGGAAAAGTAAAATATGATTGTTATCATATTCAAAACATAGGTAGCCTATATATTTACTGATGTACAAATACTAAATGAACAGTTCATTAACATCACTGTGTTCAAAGAAAAAACCGTTAAAGTATGATCCTGCAGTTGCCTTTCAGATACCAGTTCAGAAATGCATTGCTACACCTGGAATTCAATGAGTGTTCTTGTATTTTCTCCAGGCAGCTTAAGGAAGTGTTTTCTTAGTTTTGTGGGTTGCCAGACTACAGTTGCTCAACTTGGCATTGCAAACCATGAAGTTAGGAGACTGACTCCCATCACGTTCCGTTATATGTGTGAATCCATATTCATCCAACCACTTTGTTTTTTGCTAGACATAGTATAAAGTGGGACAGAGTGGTCTAGCAGTAGGGAGCTTGACTGCTAACCCGTAAGTCTCGAGTTCGAATCCAGGTTCAAGTCAGTAGACCTTCCCTGAGTCCACCCAACTCGGATGGGTACCTAACTTACGTTAGGGAAAGTAAAGGGCAGCTGGGCATAGTGTTGACTACACTATCTTTTCATATGCCGAGGTCACAGAAACAAGTGTACTCTACTTCACTTGCCTTATAGACTGTCAGGTTTGAAAAGGGAACTTTACTTTAGTATAAAGGGATTAAAATATTAAGAAAGAAGTCACACGACGTCACTAGTTGACTACTGAGCTATGACATAGAAATAAAAGTATGTTAATTACAGCATGTATATACACAATCAACGTGTGCCTGTATAAATGGTGTATGTTTGTTGTGGTGTAATGGGTTCCAGGATATAGAAATATTACAATACCGCTGTGTTGGGCTGTTGTATTTGAACTGTCATCAGCCACTAATTCTATCATCCGCAAATCATTGGAGTCAAGTGTGTGTCTTGACCTCCACCGAACCACTGAGACTGACTCACCGAAACCCTGGGGTTCATTCTATCCCAGGTTATGAACCACTGACCTGTGTACAATAGAACTGAAAATGGAAAAAAAATTAATTTAAAATACCCACAGACTTTAAACAGGAAACCAAGCTGATTGGTTATGGGCCCTACCTGTTTAAATGTTGTTGCCAATTAATTAAAAAAATTGTAAAAATCTGGTTTTGACATTTCGTGATCTTTTTATAGGCCCTATCAAAATGTTCATTAACAATTAAGGGAAAAGTATTTTCCTACCATGTTCATGTATTATTTTAACACTTAGTGCTGCTGATCATACAAGCCTTTAAAAATTGTGGCATATCTCTTTGCTCGACAGGCTTTTTCAACAGCAATGACAGCACAGAATGCAGGCAGTGAATGTGTGGTGATAGAAGATATTGGTATGTTTTATATTTTATAGCAAACTGTTATAGTTATATCGTCCTTAACGAGCTACTTATAGTGTTTTAAAGCAAATATTTTCAGTGACAGCAATGGTACTGTCGAATTCACAAATTATGAATTACTGAAAAGTAGTAAATTAAACAACTAAATAGCGGCGTATGATACGCCGCGGGTCGGCTCGTATAAAATATTATTTCTTTTTGCTTTTGACAACTAATGATAGATGTCTTGTTTGACAATGTACTAGATCTATGTGTGAGATAGGACGTTATGCTTGTTTTTTTTTTAACTTCTTACATGATAAAGATGAAAAATGTATTTATTTCCATTACAATTATTTGCAGATGAGGGAAGAAATGCAATGTTATTGTTTAAATTTTAAGGCCAGTTGTCTGGTGATAAAGGTTCAGAATTAAATTAGCAATAACTGCATGTCACTTTTAACCACTCTCTAACTCTAAATACATAATCCTAGTTGTATTTAATATATTAAATGTATCATGTTGATCAGATTTGGCTGATGATGAGCCTGGTCCTACACGTTCAGTGTATAGACCTTCCGCCTGTGCTTATGAGTCTCACTGGTTTGAGCAACCATTTGTTCGACCATCTGAGCAAGTGGTGGATAGCAGCATCCCTGAAAAATTCCTCGACATATTTAAGGACCTAATTTGGAACAAGCCCCATGACCGTATGGTCCCTGGCTATGGTAATCATTTTACACTCTTAATTGAATTCAATCACAATGTTATTGTAGCTACATAAACATCAACATTTTGGTCTCAGTCTGATAGTTTCCAATTGTGTAAAGAAATTATGAAAATATCTTAACTTAAATTTTATTTGACACATATTTAATAATATTATTAAAGATAAGCATTTAAACTAGACTTGGTAAACTTAGCAAATTTAAGCTACAGCTTAAGGATTATGTGATGTATGGGCAAAGGCTTTTGTTTTAAATGTAATCTTAACAGTTGATTTAAAAAAGACATTTAAATATTGAGTATCTATTATAAAATATAATAATACTCATGCTTTTGGCCTGATTTATTAGTAAGTTGTTTTAGAATTTTGAAGCGATAATAAAATCAGTGATTGGAAAAAGGATTTCCAGAAATTAAAAATAGAACAAGCCTTTTGACCATCCAACAGATAAGCCTCTGGTTTACCAAATGTAATCAGCTAGATGGATAGACCCAGTTACCATTCCAAAAAAAAAACTTTCCCTATTTTCAGGCATGACCCCAAAGGAGCTAGCAAGTGTATCATCTGATGGCCGGAAAGGTTGGCTGGTGTCGTCCCATTTCTATTGGCTATCTAGATGCATCAATCAGCAACAAGATCACACTCTCTTCTTTGTCCTTGACCCTGGACTAAAGAAAGTTTCCCTGGAGAAAATACTTAATGGCAAGACTGCTAAAGATGTCAAGCAAATTATTTTTGTAATGAGCGTGGGGAGACAAGATGATGGAATAGTTTTCCTTGGCAATGATAAAATGCCAGGTGACCATTGGTCAGTAGCTATAGTGGATATTGTCAAAGAAGAGCTGTCTTATTGTGATACACTAGGGTGGCCAGTTCCAGAAAAACTTGAGTACTGCCTCTCAACATACACAAGCAGCTTTGGTCTGTCTCACCAAAAACAGCTGCGAGTTAGAATGGCGCACCAGCCCAACTCTGAGCAACATGAGTGCAGTCCCTACTGCACCAACTACCCTCTACAAACCTGCTCTGATGTATGTGGTGTCATTGCTATGATCTGCATAGCCATTGCTGCATTGGACAGAGATCTCTTTGAGCTTCTTATGAAACCAATAGATAAAAAGTTGAATCTTTACCTCACTGATCCAACTGAATACTCTTCCTACCTTCGTCATGTTCTTATTTACTGGCTGGCTAGTAATCACATAGACATTAACAAAATCAAACTAAAGAGTGGCTTCGATCCCCATGTGAGTATTGGCACACCAAAAATCACTTTAAAGAGAAAATATGAATGTACTAACAATGGTGACCACAACAGCACTCCTAAGAGAATTGGTAAACCTAACAGAGAGGTCAGCCTGAATAATTATATCCTGGATGCTGTAGATTCTGATGTCTCATTTGATGTGATTCTTTCAGATGTTTTCAATATATTTGGTGAGGAAATTTCAGAAGCCAAAAATAAGAGATTAGCTACTAATTTCTCTTCTTTTACTTTAAACAACTCAATTGAAAGAGATAAACAAGATGCCATTAGCACAAAATCTTATGTGCAGGAATTAATTGATCTTGGCGCTGATAATCCAATTATATTATTTAAACCCAAAGGGAAAGAAATCAACAATGCAGGAAGAGAAGATGTCATGATTGCGCTTCAAACTGTTTATCAAAAAAACATGATGTTAACTTATGGGAGCAAATGTGTATGTGTTGAGCAGTCCAAGAAGAAAGAAACAGATACATTTAATCTGTTAACAGTGTCTGTCTTTGTTGAGGGCACAGATGAATTGCCAGTGGCATGGCTTATCAGCAGTAGAATTGATAAAAATGTAATTGATCATTTTTTCAAAGTTTTGAGAGTGAATGTAGGAAATTTTCAGACTGAAATGTTCATTGGTGACACCAATGGTAACTTTTTAAGGCATTGGATTCGATATTTTCCAAAGCCACATAAGAAATTTTATCTAGCATGGGAAATTCAACAATTGCTGCAAAGGCGACTAGAAAAGGTTGTATCCAATACTAAAGTGTGCTTTCAAATTAAAAACTACCTCCTATTTTTATTTCACATAACCAATGTAAGAGCATTTAAGGCCTATTCTCAAGCCTTGTTTGAATTTTTAAAACCATATAAAGAGTTTTTGGACTATATGAAAAGCAGCTATTTTGATGAATCTAAAGATGAGTTTTGGGCTTCCTGCTATAGGCATATACCTGAATCAAAGTTTGTTCCTTTTCTTCAGCCCTTTGATCAAACCCTAACTATGTTGGGATTTTATCAGAAGGACAAATTGAGTCGAAGTGACATTTTACTTCATAAGCTACTGCAGTTTGGCAGGTTTATGGAGAGCAAGCTTCTTGTCCACACCAGTCAGGTACACCTGCAGAATGCTCTACGAGATATTAATAGCAAACACAACGATTGCATGGGGAACTTGGACATTTTCCATTCTGCTTCAGGCGATGAATGGTTTGTTAGAGCATCAGAGGAGACCAATTCTTTTTCTGTGCTTGATAGTGGCATTACAAATTGTGAATGCCCCTTAATGTGTGAGTCGTGCAAGATTTGTGTTCACCGCTATGTCTGCACTTGTGTTGAATATCTGATGAAAGCTGCTTCCTGCAAACACATTCACTTTGTCCATGCCCACACACAGGTTAACAAAATTATTAATAACTGAGGCTTTTTAAGTAGACATTAAATGGTAGGGTTTTTCTGTTTTAGCTACCATTTCTGTAACCAATACAGCTAATCAGACATAAAAATAAGTCATATTAAAATATCTGTGCTTCATTTTCAGTTCACCTGCAACCATTGTAATTATATATAATACATGTCAATGACCAGGGCATTATGTGGCGGTGTGTGTGTTTCAATTTAATTTAACCTGTTGATTGTGGAAATTTTTTCAGAACTGTCATTAAGATTAGCCATCATTGTTGGATTTTATAACTTATGTTCTAGTAGTAAGTTTTAATATTCAAATTTATTTTCGCCTTCAAATTTTTATGAAGTTAATAAAATTTAGTAGTTTAATAAGGCAAAATATTTGATATAATTCGTTAGCAGATGTCAAAGTAAAGCTTTGATGCCTACATCAGTATTTTTCATGCTTTTTTTTCCTTTTCTTATACTATTTGTTGGCCTGCTGAGTTTACAGAGACGGCCAATGTTTACCATGAATTTTAATTCAATTGTAAATTATTGACTGTTTAAAATTGTTAGCCTTGTCAAAAATTCTTTACAATAGAATATTGTTGTAATATTTTATGTTGCCCTTGAATTGTTTAAAACTTGTATTAACTCTATTTTTACATTAGGTTTCTTGTTTAAAAAAACGTAAGAAAAGCTGATTGTCAATAGCTTTATTTTAGCAATTTGTTTTAAGATCAGAGAACAATGATTTTAATATAAAAAATAAATCATCTTAATGTCAATTTTGTTTTTACTACTTTTGATCTTTGTATTTTCTGCATACATGAAAAATAATCTCAAATACATTAACTGATAATTTAAAAAAATTTAAAGTAGCTACAATTGTAGATGTGCCGCATCCAAACTAAGTTACAAGGAAATGCAAGAAATCAGGCATAAATTGTATCAGAATTGAGTATCCACAACAGTATTTAATATTTAACAGAAGGTTGATTGGAAAGTGATTGTGAAGCAAACATGTTTATTATTATATGGAATGGAGACATGAAAAAAAAAAGGGGGGGGGGGGGCAACATCATGACTTTAACTTGATGACTATCTCTATATATATAAAAGCAATGTATGTATTTTATGCATTACTACACCTTACATCTGATTGCCATGAAACTTGGGGAAGCTGTTGAGAATACTCCTGAGGATGTTTCTGTGGAAAAAAAAATTCAATTTGGCAGGGGTGGCGCCCCGGGAGGGTGCGATTTGTTTTTTCTCTACATACGGTATATAAAAATAAAAGTCGATTGCAGTTTGACACTGTTCATCTGATAGCCATCAAACTTTGGGGGGTGATTAGAACACTCCAGGGGAGGTTTCTGTAAAACAATCTTTTTTAAATTTCGCAAGGGAGACGCCCCGGGAGGGTGCTATTTTTCTCTATATACGGTATATTAAAAAAAATGAAAGTCATATGCGGTTTGACACCTTTCATCCGAGTGCTATAAAACTTTAAAGAGTTGATGAGAATACTTCCAGGAAGGTTTCTGTTAACAAAATAATCAAAATTTGAAATGAGCGGTGCCTGGGATGGTGCGATTTTCGTCAATACACAATTTGGCGCCCAGAGTGGCTATATTAGCACTTGGCATCCGTTAATCATGCGTCGTACATAGCGGGTAAGGGGTACTACTATATACAGTGTTAAAACTTCAACAGGTGCAACCGCCGGCGTCCCGTAGATTGCACAATCCGAAGGGGCCTGGTTTCCCCTGCAAGCACTATGGTGCCTCTGTGGTAGTGTAATCGGGGGCTATTGAGAGCGCCCCTCTACGTCCCTAACACATGGGCGGTCACTGAAGTGTGTTCTACATCATTAATTGGCTGAATGATTAACTTACACTCAAAGTTTTCATGCGGTAGTGTAGGTAAACCCGTGTCCTGATATTTTTAACCCAAAGGCAGGCATTGTTTACATTTAAATAACTCAGTTTTAGAAAACAAGGTCACGCTCTAAGAACATTCATGAAACCCTTCTTATATATTTCGGGTACGCTAGTATATATATAAATAATACACCCAACCTCGCTACACCACTGAAAAAGTGTACTGGTGTAATTCACCCAGTTGACAGATACAGGATTTAGAACATTGCCACATATTTACAACTTTTAATAACAGAAGTAAAAGAAGTATATAAATAATTTATTTACATCAAAGGACAATAGATTAAAAAATATCTACAAGTTTCATACTTAAATTGTTTTAACCAATTTTAAGTCTAATAAAACTTATTTTAAAACAATTGTATTAGCTTTAGTAAAACAAGAATAAGTTCAAATGTTGTAAAGTACATTTAGAAATAAAAACTGGTTTCATCAAATCTGGGAAAATGTAATTCTTAGATTACAAAAATAGACTACAATTACAAACATAAATTGGAGAATTTCAAAGGTTTTCATTCCTATTTTTAGATCATAAAATTAAAAAATTAAATTGATTGTTTGAATTTTTCTCTGATTGAATGAACAAACATGCCAAGATTATTTGTAGAGTTGAGCTTCTTAATTAGGTCTTCAAAATCATTAATCAATGGCTGACAATCACCACCTGAAAAATATTTTAGAAGTACATTAAATTTTTTGCGTCATGTAGACAAAAAGATCAACAAATTTATTCAACGTAAATTGAAACTAAGCAACAGATTACAATCAGCAAAAATATGTAAAACATTTTATTGAGTTTATTTAATCTAATAAAATGAACAAATGATAGAGAATAGTCTTACCAATATATCTACGATAGTCGTCTAATTTTAAGGAGAACAAGAAACGGGACTGTGGGTCAGAAGGGTCTATTTGTGTGAAAATAAACTGCAGCCATCCACCTGCAAAATAACACTAAACTATTGATAAACTGTAAACAAAAAGATTAAGAAATGATATAAAAATATAGCAATTTAATATTCATTTTGCCAGGCCTGTCCAGGATCATGTAACTATCTGCAAACAAATTAGAACAAAAAAATGGCATTTACTATTAACTGAACTTATGAAGAACGTTAAGCAGGTATTAGATGTGAGATTATAATTTATTGATAATGTAAAAAGTGATCTATGGCAAAGAGTATTTGACTTAGAGCTCAAAACCAGCAAAAAAGATATATGTGAAAACATGATGACTTTTAAGTCACAATATATATATATGACAATAGTAGATCTATATAAATCTAGAAATTAGCATGTTAGTCATGATTTTACTGTATTTTTCTCCCTACATTTAAGGCATAATTTAAATCTACAATTCAATTGCAAATACTAAAAAGAACATTCAGAAGTTAGATTGTTCACATTATATATATTAATAGATATAGTATTAGATGATACTTGTGAATATTGTATGTAAACTAGGAAACAGAAACGTGTGCTAAAGGGAGATAATCGCTTTTTCCAACTTGATTTATTACATTTCTTTAATTATTATTTGTTTAAAAAAAATACAACACAACAAACTTCGGCGAAACTTTGTAAAAAAAGCGGACCAATTCTGTTTTTGGCGGGACGGTAGGCATGTCAGTATGCACTTTTACTCCATCTATATGTTCCAGTGATCAAATTCAGCATTATATAAATAACATCATTTTTAAGTTTAGATTGGCATCTTGATATGTCTCTCAAAGTGCAAGCCTTTACAATAATTAGAAAAAGATTTGTACATATTGAATGAAGGCATATGTATTACCTTTAACTTTGATTATCTGAAGCCCATATACCTTGGAAAACAAATCTTTCTCTTCCTCCAAATGTTTCTGCTTGTTGTCAAGGTCATTACCTAATAAAAAAATATTTTTAGAAATATTGAATAATCAATGTGAAATATAGCTTATAGTATAGCTAGAGATAAAGAAAACGCAATGCATTTTCTAACATTGCTGGAAGAAAAATTTCCTTTTCATTTGGTAACTTAATTAGACTACAAATTACTATCTGTGAATGCTTTCTGTTCAGACTGCAGATGCTCCAGTTCCTCTTGATATGCTTTAATCATCAGTTCATTAGCAAACTGCTGAGTTCTTTTCAGCTCAAGTTCTGACTTCAGGCTTTTCATTAGCTGAAGGTTATTTTGAGCAGCTAAAGGTAAATAAAATTCCAAAACTTACTAATACAATTTAATGGGATATTTTAAAAAGAAAAAACAAACAAAAATAAATTGCATAACAAGGAATGTGCCAAAGATAGAACTTATAAAATGATTAGTTGAGCAGAAAACAATTCAAATATACTAGAGTCAAGAACATACCCTCTTTGGAGACTTTTTGTCTTAATTTTTTCTGCATTTTCAAATCTTGTATTTTTTCTGAAACAGTCAACAGTTTTTTAACTAGCTGAAGAAATGTAACAAATTTTAAACTAAAAGATTATTTCAATTATTTAATAAGTTTGTAAACTAGAGGTTTCTGACTTAAGTTCAATTCATCATAAATTTGGGACAGTCTAACTATCATTAACTATTAATAATGAATATAGTTGCAACTACTTTGTCTGGGAGTAAAGTGGAAATAGCTTATTGAACATACCAGTCCAATATCATCAGACACAGTATACAAATTCCAAAACAAAAATAGGCCATTTCTGACCCACTGCCAGACCCATATAGTTTTACATTAAAATTAACATTCCAGATCACCAACTTCATGTTATGTAACATTTCCAGAAAACCTTCCCCCAAACACAATTTGTTACCATAGTACTAAAATGTGATTTTACAAATAATTTATTAGAATCATCTTTAGAAACAAGTTGCAAAAGCTTAAGGGGAGTTCAAAATAACTAAGTCAGTGTTATCAACTTATTGATCCAACCATTCCAAACAGAAATTTACTTAACTACAAAACCAAAAGCTGTATGTGCAATATTACATATCCCAACTTGCCCTATCCTATATAAGACAATGTTGAACCTTTTCCCTACCCCTATTTAATATGTGCATGATACATTACAACATAACTGAATCATCAAAGACTTTTCTTACTGTTATTAGTTTCAATATCTTTGAACTTCTTATCATACAGTTTTTCTATATTCTCTTTTTCTGCTTGCAGCCACTTTGTTACGTGTTGCTTAAGTTGATTTAATTGCACTGTAGTATCCATTTTGTACCTGGAATTGAAAAAAAATAAAATTCATAAATTTCTTTAGGCCTACAATTTTAAAATTGAATTAATTTAGACAAAGAACTAACTAAAACAACTTAATGGCCCAGTGATCTATATATAATAATATATCCTTATTAAAGTTTGTTTGATATAGCTTGTTCTTCAAGGATAAATAAAAACACTGTTAGTTTCAAGGGTTAGTTTCACTAAATTTCATAAATGTTTTCATGTGTCAAGTTAATGTTAAAGATAGCATGCTGCATTATAATTATGAAATTTTATTGAAATGTCTGTAATCAACCATCAGGAAATAAATGTAATAGTGGAGCCCAGCCATTTCGCATTGCCAATCAATAATTTTAAAATTAGTCCCTATTATTTAATTAATGTTAAATATATGCGCTCTGCCCTGACTCTTAATTGTAATTAATTCAATTAGTCTAATTAGTTTTAATAAGGCCTAGATCTAGATAATAGACCATTGGATGATTGTGCATTGGAAATACAAATACAAGCACAAAACTTTGGCCAGATGTTGCCCATGCAACAGCCCCCCCCCCCCCCCGGACAAACTTTTCGATTTGCACCCCCCTCCCTTGAGATTTTGATTTGCACCCCCCTCAAACTTTCAATTTGCACCCCCCCCCCCTCACTCGAGATTCCCATTTGCAACCCCCCCCCCCCCCCCCTCGAGATTTCCATTTGCACCCCACCCCTCAAACTTTTGATTTGCACCCCCTCAACCTTTCAATTTATTTTTCAAACCCATTTTGGCGCCCCCTAAGGTCGGCGCCCGGGGACATATGTTCCCCCCCCCCCCCCCCCCCCGCGCTACGCTACTGGGCCCTTAAACACTTAAAGAGTACTAAAGAGTTAAAGACTAACTAACACTAAACTAAGTAAACTTGACTAAACAGAAAACGTGATTTTTGCCTGCAGTTGGATTGTAGATCTAGATCTAGATTCTAGATCTATTTCATTAAGTGATTAAATCGGTCGGTGCTTATGAGATAGATATTCTTGATCACTCGATCAAACCGTCAATATAAAATAACCACAAACTCCAAATTTAATGTAGATGTGTATTAGAAAATAAAATTTAAGTTATCCGCCCAACCGGAAGTTTATCTTTTTTTTTAAGTATCGATACCCTTTTTGGTTTTTTTTCTATAATACTAAATAGTCGATTGCTTAACAAAATCAAAACCAACTTTTTGAAAAAGATCTAGATTTTAGATCTACTAGATCTAGATCTAGATCTAGATCTAGGCCTAATGGTTGCAAAACGTAACACTAGGGCTAGAGACATCACTATTTACTATTTGTATTAAGAATAGGTGACTAGTCCTTTTAAGTCGACAATAAATGACGTCACGCATTTTTGGGGACGATTTTTACTTCTCTACTAGAATCTACACGTCACACGTCGTAACACGAAAGTCAGACATACAAAATTCAATTCAAGCTACCAAACCATGTTTAATATTGACCAACCACCTTTGCCACTAAAAAAAATATGATTCATTCCAAACTAAGGGTAGTCCATGCGGGGGGGGGGGGGCGCTTTTAAAAAGCCCACTGCCCATCTTCACACATCTGCATAAAATTACCAGATTAATCATCAAATAATGTCAAACCTCAGCCTATCACCCTCTCAAATTATTTTAACAACAGCGTTTGCCCTAAAAATTACTTAGCTCTGTCAACATTGGGTAGGGCTTGCGGCTAGGTTTAAAATTGATAGTTTTTTTTTAAATTTCAATTTAAAAAAACATTTTAAAAAAAGTAAAATGACCGTTAAAATTCAATTTCAAACAGACCTAATGTTTAGTGCCAAAGAGTATCGTTACAACTTCTGACCCCCTCGCCTTCTTTAATTTAATTAGGGCACAAACTCTCTCCCCTGGGGTCTGAAATAATATCTGACAAGCTCTATTATTTAAACATTTACGGGCCAAAAATAAAGATTGGCTGGAAAAGTAGATTTATAACTTTGCAGTAGAAACTATCAACACAAACCTAAGCATGCAGAAATGTTAATCTAGAACTAGATCCTCTAGTGTAGATTAGTGTAGAACTAGTTTTAACTGAAGGTTAACCCCTAAATTATACAGTATAAATAAGGAGTAGAAAGGGCCTAATTTGGAGGTGTTTATTATTATTATTTTAATAGTAATTTACTAATTACTATTACGAATTTATTGGGGGTGAGGGGGGGGGGGGGGGGGAGGGGATAGTGGTGGACGTACTTTTTACCTTTGGAAGTCATTAAAAATGTTTCTGGCTTCACGATTTTTAGTAAGGCCTTTTCTGAACAGCTGATGAGTTACAGTGTTACAGTATTAAACCGGAACGAGTTGTGTCTATTAAAATAAAATAAACATGCAAAAACTCTAGACATAGATCTAGATTCTAAATCTTTATTCTAAACCAGATTTAGATTACAAGTAGTGTATTAAATTTATATTAAAGTAAAGCCTACTTTTTATTTTTAATTTTTAATGTATGCGCTTAAAGTTTAAAGAGGAAGTAATCCGAAGTATTGATGGAATCCGCTAACTAATCGTCGTGCTTAATTTTAAAAATAGGCCTAATTAATTAACAATTGTAATACATATAAATAATAAATAATATTTTGACAGTTTTTGCTGTTTCACGTCTCCCTACTGAACATATTAGGTTCAACATATGAACATAATGAATTAAGGATGCATTAGTTTACTAAGTTTAGTATTACAATGTAATGGACACAAGCGAGAAAAGTCTCAAAGGTATTTGAGAGGTGCATAAATTAATTTTAAAATCTTGCACGGCGTAGTTACAATTAATATGGTTATAAAATCCTGTCTGTCTGGTTTTTTTCGGACTTTACTAAAGATTGGACGTATTTGATGTTTTTAATATTTTCGGTAACTAAATAAAAATTTAAAAAAAGCAAAAACCATTTGGTTTTCACATGTAATGGCGACATAAACAATGGCATCCTGCTATTGGATAGGCCGACTCAAATTTTATTGTACACATTGTAAGCTAAAAATAGAAAACTAGGTCATGGGGTTTTAAATTTGCATTGTTATTTAAAAACTTGATCTGCAAAGTTTTGTAAACAAATAGTTATCGATCACTAAGTTACTGTACAGCCAATCAATATTTGTCTTACGAAAGTGAAACATCCAGTTATAACTTAGGCTTGATGAAAATAAATAGAGATGTAGCCTTAAACTCAACAAATTATTTTCAAGTTCTCTGGATTTGCAACTTTTATAGCATTTATTCTAAAAATTAAAAATTTCTAAATTAATTTTAGGCTTAAGTTTTTATTTTTTTTTACGGTCTAAATATAAAAAGCACGTTTTTATTCCATGTCAACAACACTATGGAAGGAATCTCGTCAACTCGCTTGTCTCCATTGTGAAAAAAAATCAAAATAGAGAATTTGACAAACTTTCACTTTGACATTTTCTTGAGCAGAAAAACTTGTTTTTGCAATTTTGTCATTTGAGTCATTGTCTGTGTGTGTCTGCTGAAGTACCATTTCAGTTACATTGATAAAACTTCAAAAGTAGATCTAGTACTACTAGTAGTATTTTATTTTGAATAGTCATAGCGCTGTTATTTGGAAGTTTTATTCATACATATTACATATCCAAGGCATTGACAGTCAGTAGGCCTATATCCATCTATAACATCTTTGCTACATTGAATTGCCATTGAGTGAAATGAGTAATTGAAAGTAACCCGGTGTTCAGGTAGTAATTTTTTTGTCACATGGATGACTTGAGACCCATCCTGGCTTAGTGCCTTTATTAAACAATGTTAGGTGTATTTAGGGGAAGTATTGTAATTGTGCAAAAAATAAAAAATCTTGACAGTGTACACCTCCCTGAATCGGAAAACTTAGCTTAGCAATTTTATCTGTATGTCTGTGTGTGTGTGTTTCTGTCTGTGAACATGATAACTTGCTTATCGTTGCAGCTAGGTTGACAAAATTTCATATTATATATCAAATTTGTAGTTCTGTGTCAACTTTTCAGCGATTTCTGGCAATCAGAAGTAGAACTTATTCTACTTTCTGTTTTTCAAAAGCCTATAACTTGAGTAGGCCTACTGTTTCTGATAGATAGATGACATTTCACATATAAGTAAAAGATCTAATTCTCTGTTTTTCTGTCAAATTTTGAATAATTTCTGTTGACTTTACACAATTTCAGATATGGTTGATATTTCTAGTTGACCCTTTGTATCCTTAGCAGACCAAGACCCCGGGCTGACCTCAACCAACCGGTTAACTTGTTATATTGAGTTATCATAACACCCTATACATTGTTTAAGTGTCCTTTAACATACATCTTTTCATTAGTATATTATTGCTGTTTGTCTTTTTTGGCTAGTCTTTATTGATGAAGACCTTAGGTGACATTGTCCATTGTAACTGTAATTGTCTTTAATTTGTGAGGATACTAACATTCCCCCTTTTTTAATTACGAGAAATATCTGACAACTTTCATAGTAGCAAAAATTTTGTAGCATGAATGTTTATTCATTGTTCAATTGGAACCAGCATTATTTAGTATTGTACTATTTTTGAATTATAACAAATATGAATTATTCCTCTTAACTATTTTTAACTGATTGCCCTTTTCAGTGTACAAAAAGATAATGTAGAATCTTGATTCATTTTCGATAGTTATGGTATTATTCAATTCTCTTATGGTGTGGTAATATGTTATTTGTGATATAAATACAAAAGCACGCTAACAGTAGTTTTAAATATTGCCTAATTTTCTTTTCAAAGTCTATTCACATCTTTGTATTTAGCATATAAATCCCTTTATATTTTTCCTAGAGATTAATGCACTAAAAGTCTTCAAGAAAGAAACTATGGCTTCATATCTGATAGATAGAAATTCTCCAATAAGATCAGGCATTGCTCCTAAATTAAGACACAGATCTCCCAACTCTGAGTCTGATCACCATGTGACGGAGGGAATATCTTCATTTAACACTAAACTTGATGGACCTTTCTCTCCTGAAAAAAACAAAAGCCAAGAAAATATTTCATTGGGAGCACAGGGCTTTAATCATCGGCCAAAAGGTTCAACAAAATTTGTTGTTTTAGAAATCTGTTTTTACTGTAACATTATATACCTAGTTTAATCTTGACCTTGTTTGTATGCTAACTATATATTATATTGAAGTAGTTGACTTTGTTAAACATTTTATCAAAGAGCAGTTTTATTTCTAAAAGTATGTTGCTATTCTGAATTTTTAAGATCTGTTACTTATGTTTATGGTTCTAGAAACAGTTAAAGTTGAAGATTTTAAACCAAAACTTTTATAACTTTTTTGTAACACGTTTACTACTTTCTTTTTAAGAAAAAGGAAAATCATTACTTGGCTATTTTATGACGGAACTTACCAGAGATTACAGACTTGAAGGTGATGCCTCTGAATTTGTTGAGCGTAGAGATAGAGTGTACACTTCCGTAAACACGCCAAAAAACTTAGAAAAGGTGGAGAAATTTGGACACATTTTTATTTCTAAATAATTTTTTTTTGTTATAGATCTATATAGCCTGTACGCTTTTGGTGATTCTGACAAAAGTATGTTTTTTGTCCAACTAATATTTTAAATATTTTACTACTTTGAACATAAAAATATTTTATGGGAAACAATTTATTTATAAACATCACCGAGTAATGTATTCCACCTGCTCTAAGAGATTAAACAACAATTTCCCAATTTTTCTGACAGTTTTGTGCGTTTGGATTCCTACAGTGTCTTGACTCCATTTTGTACATGGTGACATTCCTTCCTCTGCGCATCATCGTTGCTATTGCTAAAGTTTTAACATACCCATGTGCTGTTGTTTTCACCGGGTAGGTATAAACCAATTCAAAGAAAACCAAAATTGAACCAGTTTCATGAAATGTTTATTGTCTCACATTTTAACTTGATTTACAGCTGTTATGTTCAGTCTGGTACAATAGTGACCAGATTGTTTTGTTCTGCCCCTTTTATTTAGGGTTGACTAGTTAGAAAATATCAAGTGGCACTAAATTATATTTCTCTACCCAAACATAGATGCTATTTTATTTTAAAGTCACATATTAAACGGGGTTGAAACTATGTTTCAACTAATGTTGAATCAATAATTCAATTGTATCAATAATTCAATATTAATCAATAAGTGCAATTAATATTGGTATTTTATTTGAAATTTTTTAGGCTTTTATTAAATCAATTTTGTATCCATAATTAGCTATGTAAAATAAAACTCCAGTCTATATCAAAAAGCTGGTTGTGAGAAAATACGCTGCAATGTGTCATTAGACCTTTAACACTTTAGGTTCACTTCACCTGTTGTCTAGATCAGGGGTCTCCAAAATACGGCCCGCGGGCCGCATCCGGCCCGCGAGGTCCTCTCATCCGGCCCGCGGAGATCTTTTTGTCCACGGAAAAAACTTTTGATGGTGATGGCTGAGGAACTTTGCTCAGAAAAATCACGACATGCCTGGAAGAAACTGGCCCCCGAACTGAAATTTGATAGTTAATGCGGCCCTCGGACTGAAAAGTTTGGAGACCCCTGGTCTAGATAGTTGAAAATAAATGCCAAATTAGCTAGAGAATGTTTGCTTATCAACATTGTTACTATGTATAGAGATTAAAATCTCCAGTTCTGTTGTTTCAGTGATAGAAGATTTTTAGATGGGGCGCAAATTTGTGACCTGCTAAAGGGATTGATTCTTGTGATCAGCTGTTTCATCACCAGCTACATAGACATGTCCATGATCTACCACATTGTCAGAGGGCAGTCTATCATCAAATTCTATGTCTTCTACAACATGCTAGATGTAGGTACATGTCCATAATTTACCACTTAGAAGGCAGTCCATCATTAAATTCTGTCTTCTACAACATGCTAGATGTCGGTACATGTCCATGATCTACCACATAGTCTGAGGGCAGTCTATCATGTAAATGCATCATTTATAGCTTATAAGTTGAGTCAGGTGGTGTATTACATCCCTGGTCATGACAAGCTACACACATGTATGCACATTTAAATGTATTTATTAAAGCCAGTAACATTAACTCATCTCCTTGTAGACTGTAACTTAAAAAGAATTTGAATTCAGGAATGTGTAGATAGCTTTTTTGTTGGACATTTTCTTATATTATGTTCATATTTATTATGTTTTTTCACATCGTTAGTAGGATATTTATCATTATGTTCTGTCACATTGTTGGTAGGATATTTATCATTATGAATGTTTTGTCATATTGTTGGTAGGATATTTATCATTATGTTCTGTCACATTGTTGGTAGGATATTTATCATTATGTTCTGTCACATTGTTGGTAGGATATTTATCATTATGAATCTCGCAGGTTATGGACAAACTAGTCTCTGGCTTTGGTCAAGACGTGCTGGACAGTTTATACTGGACAGCTGTTGAACCAAGAGGACGAAAGAGAGAGCATTTTGGCACGATTTTTCATTTGATCTTTGCAATAACTTATGTTGGTATCCTTTAAAGTTTAGTTAAATTTTTCCAATCACAGCTTGCTTAATTGAGCATTTAAGTTTTGGAACCAAATTTTTTTTTCTGAAAGTAACTCTAATGGGGTCACATGTTTCTATGAAGCACCTGTATAGAAAAAAAAATTTGTTACTATTTTTCCTGAAATCTGGCCAGTGGTGCACACAGTGATGATACTGATACAGGCAATCATCCTTAATGTTGCCTTCAACTCTCACAATAAAAATTTGCTGACAATTATGATGTCTAACAATGTGAGTATTCTTCTACTGCAGCAAATGTCCATCATGCTACAACAAATGTCCTTTTTTATTTTTAGTGCTTATAGAAAGACAAGCAGGGTTTATAAAAAGTTTATGAGGGCTAATAAAATATTAAGTTAACCATGGCACTAACTATTGAAGGTTACTTGAATTTTAAAAATCTTTATGAAACTCATGATTAGCCTAGAGAGACAGTAATTTTTACATTTCACTCACCCAATTTTTTTATTGTGTAGCACAATGATCCCCGTGGTTTACTAAAGGCTGATCTAAAATTGTACTTCCCCCCCCCCCCCCCCCTTGTTTCAGTTTGTTGAAATCAAAGGCAACCTGTTCAAGCGTCTAGACAAGAACAACCTGTGCCAGATCACCTACAGCGATGTGAAGGAGAGGTTCCATTACCTGGTGCTGCTGCTCTTTGTCTTCATCAGAAACATGAAGGAGCTGCAGTGGAGCTGGGGTCAGTTCTTTGTTTTCTGCATCAGTCATCTTTATCAAACATTTGCTGGTTCAGTTTGAGCTGGGTCAGTTCTTTCTTTTCTGCATCAGCTAGGGTCAGTTCTTTGTTTTCTGCATCAGCTGGGGTCAGTTCTTTGTTCTCTGTATCAGCCATCTTCAGCAAACATTTGCTGGTTTAGTTTCATGTTGCCTATAGAGTTGAGCCAGGTGAAAAGTTTTCCTAAAGTTGTCGCTGGATGATTAAAATAAATTTATAAAAATGTAGTTAAGTAACCAAACAATAATTTTGAATCTTTGCTTGTAATTTCAGATATGGCTTTTCCCATAATCCAAGATGCTGCCATTGTGATGTTTGTTGAAATTATAGTGGACTGGATCAAGCATGCGTTTATCACCAAGTTTAATGAGCTGTCAGCCAGTGTAAGTAACACATCATAAGCCACGTTTAAAACCTAGGGTCAGCTAGCACTAAAGCCTAGGGTCAGCTAGCAACAGTTACCTAAAGCATAAGATCAGCTAGAAATATTTACCTAAAACCTATTTATCATTTCCTTTCCCCAGTCCTATGCAGATTTTGCTCTGGGTTTGGCTCAAGATATTGCTACAAGTCAGAAGAAGCATGTAAGTTGTTTGATGAGAAGCTATCAGATTATTGTCCTGTCCTTTAGGTGCCATGTGTTGATATGCAGATATTTTGTTGATGTGTTGACATTTTGTTGATGTGTCGATATTTTGTTGTGTTGATATTTTGTTGATGTGTAGACATTTTGTTGATGTGTACACATATTTATTTTCTTGTACAGGCCTTCACCAACTTCAGCGACCAAGTATGTCGACGTATGGGCTTTACGCCGATGCCTCTCATATGTTTACTCTACATGGTCTGTACCACGTCCTTCAGTGTCAACGGTCCACTGCCCTGGCTGTTGGTCTTCCTCTTCTACTTATGGTGAGTGACCCAACACATGGTGAGTGACCCAACACATGGTGAGTGACCCAACACATGGTGAGTGACCCAACACATGGTGAGTGACCCAACACATGGTGAGTGACCCAACACATGGTGAGTGACCCAACACATGGTGAGTGACCCAACACATGGTGAGTGACCCACCAACACATTCTATGGTGAGTGACCCAACACATTCTATGGTGAGTGACCCAACACATTCTATGGTGAGTGACCCAACACATTCTATGGTGAGTGACCCAACACATTCTATGGTGAGTGACCCAACACATTCTATGGTGAGTGACCCAACACATTCTATGGTGAGTGACCCAACACATTCTATGGTGAGTGACCCAACACATTCTATGGTGAGTGACCCAACACATTCTATGGTGAGTGACCCAACACATTCTATGGTGAGTGACCCAACACATGGTGAGTGACCCAACACATGGTGAGTGACCCAATACATTCTATGGTGAGTGACCCACATAATTTACGCATAACTCTTCTGTCCATCTTTCACAAATGTCTCAAAACATTAGCTGCATTTTTAAAAAATTTCATTTTATAAAACCTTTCAGTTTGATTTCTACAAAAGTGTTAAACAGTATAATTTTATTGGGCTGGGCTCAGCGACTGATCAATGAAAGAAACAAAAGTGCCAAGTCTACTGGAACAGTTGTCAATTCTCAGGTACTGCCTCATGTCATCCACATGTCATCCTGTGTTCATGTGTTATTTAGTGTTCACATGTCATCCCATGGTCACATGTCATCTCAAGGTCACATGACATCCCGTGTTCACTAATTTGCAACTCACTTAATTCAAGCCCAGTACCACACATACCATCTTTAAAGGATACCAAGTATAAACTCAAAACAGAAACTAAAAAAACTAAAAGTCATACACCTTTTGCTTTTGAAATAAAATCTACACCAGTTTCTGTATGCAACATTTTCAGTACAAGTTATTTATAACCATTGGTCCTGTTTTGCCTGACAGACATTAAATTATTACCTAAAACTGTTTAGCACATTGACATTATAAATTCTCTACTCTCTACACCTGTGTTTATTTCTGCTGAAATAATTCTCTGGTAATCAGCTGCTCCAAACAAAAATTATGTCGAATTCTATGAGAGCTGTGTACATGGCTAAATAAGGTCTCTGACTGATAAACTGATCTCTCTCTCTAGAGAGCTAAAAGTAGTGTAGAGAACTGAACAACTTTGCTATACGATTATGTAATTGTTATTGTTGTTGACCTCTCAGGTTATACCCAAGAAAGAAGAGAAAGGCCCATCAAAGGTCAAGGCTGAAAGTGACCTGTCCACCCCTGTGGCCAGTGGACCGCGTCTGACCACAGTCTCGTCCAGCGTGGCTGTCAACACAGATGCCAGCATGTACACAGATGCATCAGATACCCTGTCTGATTCTGTTTACCATTCCACCTCCTACCTGAGCACCTCGGATATGCTGTCTCAGTCAGTTGATGCCACGGATATCCTGTCTGAGTCTGTGGATGGGATCTATCCATCTGCATCCAGTAACCCTCAGCCTGTGGTGGACACTAGACCTCCAGCCAATGTGTTTGGCCATACAACCTCCCCACCACCTGTCTCAGTGTCCTCAGATATCTACACAGAGAAAAGCCACCCAGTGAAGCCAGAGTGTTTGAAAGTTGAACCCACAGAAGGTGAAAGGTTGGATCCTGGTCAGGGTTCAAAGTTCACACAATCTAAGACAGACAGCGCAGCAGAGGTTGTTTTCCTCTCTTCTCCCAACCAGCCATCAAAAGACAAGCAACAGACAACAGCTATAGAAACTTTGGGCTGTGACACATCACATACAACTGACACCAGTGACAGGTCACATACGACTGACACCAATGTCAACTTACTGTCCTCGAACAATGAAAGCACCTCACATCAAGACAAAACAGCACTGACTCCATTAAACAGCCAGGAGTCTAACACTGACTCCGTTAAACAGCCAGGAGTCTAATACTGACTCCATTAGACAATCAGTAGTCTAGTCCACCTACATAGTGCCATCAACTTGCATTAAATTGTTCAAGTCAGTAGTCTCCACATCAATTCAGATTTTCATCGTTCATATTTGGCAACAGGGTTGACAATGAAGACAATCTGTTGCTCACTGCTTGTGGCTCATCATGTATTTGCAGCAATTATTAGTGGACCCATAAGGTGTACATAAACAATAAATAATGTTCTTCTAAAACTCTCTAAGATTTGATGTGTTGTACGCTTTAGTGTACAAAATTACTGACAATCCACCCTGTAACAAGTCTTGTATATTTGTGATTGACATGTCATATTGCTTCCTGCTTGATTTACATTAGATCTTTCTGTAATTAAATATTTTTAATGTGTGGAAAAATGTACTAAATGATGAACGTTTCCAACCTTTTATCCTTCTGGAGTTACCTCCCTGTTTGATATCCTGAGTCATTTCCCTGCTTACAGATGCATTGAGTTACTTCCCTGCTTATAGATACCCTGCTGCTGATTGTACAAAGAACTTGTGACATTTCTGCTGCTGCTTGTTACAACCTAGTCAGGCTCCCCCATCATGAGGTTTTCAAAAGATTTGTGGTACCTGGCTCTCCAGTTAGATCCTTTGTGCCATTACACCTTGTCCTTTTATAGCCGTCCTGTAGTTTGTCATTGCTGGTCTATCTGCTGCTGCTTGCGGTTCTCATTTAAGTATTGTCCTCATGTGACCTACTGATGTTGGGAGGTCAAAGGTTAGTGCATTCCATATTGATTTATTTTATTATTGAGTGTTTGTAGCCCTAGATACAGTACGGTTGTATGTGTACCATTTTGTTGCTGTAAGTAGGTTTGTATGTGTACCATTTTGTTGCTGTAAGTAGGTTTGTATGTGTACCACTTTGTTGCTGTAAGAAACTTGACCATTGAAATTTTTGTAGAGAAAATAATACAATCAAAAAATTCATTTGACATTTGTAGGTCAGGTAAGTAAAGTCTTGGTTCAACCAGCTGACATTTGTAGGTCAGGTAAATAGTCTTGGTTCAACCAGCTGACATTTGTAGGTCAGGTAAATAAAGTCTTGGTTCAACCAGCTGACATTTGTAGGTCAGGTAAATAAAATCCTGGTTCAACCAGCTGACATTTGTAGGTCAGGTAAATAGTCTTGGTTCAACCAGCTGACATTTGAAGGGCAGGTAAATAAAGTCTTGGTTCAACCAGCTGACATTTGTAGGTCAGGTAAATAAAGTCTTGGTTCAACCAGCTGACATTTGTAGGTCAGGTAAATAAAGTCTTGGTTCAACCAGCTGACATTTGTAGGTCAGGTAAATAAAGTCTTGGTTCAACCAGCTGACATTTGTAGGTCAGGTAAATAAAGTCTTGGTTCAACCAGCTGACATTTGTAGGTCAGGTAAATAGTCTTGGTTCAACCAGCTGACATTTGTAGGTCAGGTAAATAAAGTCTTGGTTCAACCAGCTGACATTTGTAGGTCAGGTAAATAGTCTTGGTTCAACCAGCTGACATTTGTAGGTCAGGTAAATAGTCTTGGTTCAACCAGCTGACATTTGTAGGTCAGGTAAATAAAGTCTTGGTTCAACCAGCTGACATTTGTAGGTCAGGTAAATAGTCTTGGTTCAACCAGCTGACATTTGTAGGTCAGGTAAATAAAGTCTTGGTTCAACCAGCTGACATTTGTAGGTCAGGTAAATAAAGTCTTGGTTCAACCAGCTGACATTTGTAGGTCAGGTAAATAAAGTCTTGGTTCAACCAGCTGACATTTGTAGGTCAGGTAAATAAAGTCTTGGTTCAACCAGCTGGCATTTGTAGGTCAGGTAAATAAAGTCTTGGTTCAACCAGCTGACATTTGTAGGTCAGGTAAATAAAGTCTTGGTTCAACCAGCTGACATTTGTAGGTCAGGTAAATAAAGTCTTGGTTCAACCAGCTGACATTTGTAGGTCAGGTAAATATAGTCTTGGTTCAACCAGCTGACATTTGTAGGTCAGGTAAATAAAGTCTTGGTTCAACCAGCTGACATTTGTAGGTCAGGTAAATAGTCTTGGTTCAACCAGCTGACATTTGTAGGTCAGGTAAATAGTCTTGGTTCAACCAGCTGACATTTGTAGGTCAGGTAAATAAAGTCTTGGTTCAACCAGCTGACATTTGTAGGTCAGGTAAATAAAGTCTTGGTTCAACCAGCTGACATTTGTAGGTCAGGTAAATAGTCTTGGTTCAACCAGCTGACATTTGTAGGTCAGGTAAATAGTCTTGGTTCAACCAGCTGACATTTGTAGGTCAGGTAAATAAAGTCTTGGTTCAACCAGCTGACATTTGTAGGTCAGGTAAATAGTCTTGGTTCAACCAGCTGACATTTGTAGGTCAGGTAAATAGTCTTGGTTCAACCAGCTGACATTTGTAGGTCAGGTAAATAAAGTCTTGGTTCAACCAGCTGACATTTGTAGGTCAGGTAAATAGTCTTGGTTCAACCAGCTGACATTTGTAGGTCAGGTAAATAAAGTCTTGGTTCAACCAGCTGACATTTGTAGGTCAGGTAAATAAAGTCTTGGTTCAACCAGCTGACATTTGTAGGTCAGGTAAATAAAGTCTTGGTTCAACCAGCTGACATTTGTAGGTCAGGTAAATAAAGTCTTGGTTCAACCAGCTGGCATTTGTAGGTCAGGTAAATAAAGTCTTGGTTCAACCAGCTGGCATTTGTAGGTCAGGTAAATAAAGTCTTGGTTCAACCAGCTGACATTTGTAGGTCAGGTAAATAAAGTCTTGGTTCAACCAGCTGACATTTGTAGGTCAGGTAAATATAGTCTTGGTTCAACCAGCTGACATTTGTAGGTCAGGTAAATATAGTCTTGGTTCAACCAGCTGACATTTGTAGGTCAGGTAAATAAAGTCTTGGTTCAACCAGCTGACATTTGTAGGTCAGGTAAATAGTCTTGGTTCAACCAGCTGACATTTGTAGGTCAGGTAAATAGTCTTGGTTCAACCAGCTGACATTTGTAGGTCAGGTAAATAAAGTCTTGGTTCAACCAGCTGACATTTGTAGGTCAGGTAAATAAAGTCTTGGTTCAACCAGCTGACATTTGTAGGTCAGGTAAATAGTCTTGGTTCAACCAGCTGACATTTGTAGGTCAGGTAAATAGTCTTGGTTCAACCAGCTGACATTTGTAGGTCAGGTAAATAAAGTCTTGGTTCAACCAGCTGACATTTGTAGGTCAGGTAAATAGTCTTGGTTCAACCAGCTGACATTTGTAGGTCAGGTAAATAGTCTTGGTTCAACCAGCTGACATTTGTAGGTCAGGTAAATAAAGTCTTGGTTCAACCAGCTGACATTTGTAGGTCAGGTAAATAGTCTTGGTTCAACCAGCTGACATTTGTAGGTCAGGTAAATAAAGTCTTGGTTCAACCAGCTGACATTTGTAGGTCAGGTAAATAAAGTCTTGGTTCAACCAGCTGACATTTGTAGGTCAGGTAAATAAAGTCTTGGTTCAACCAGCTGACATTTGTAGGTCAGGTAAATAAAGTCTTGGTTCAACCAGCTGGCATTTGTAGGTCAGGTAAATAAAGTCTTGGTTCAACCAGCTGACATTTGTAGGTCAGGTAAATAAAGTCTTGGTTCAACCAGCTGACATTTGTAGGTCAGGTAAATAAAGTCTTGGTTCAACCAGCTGACATTTGTAGGTCAGGTAAATATAGTCTTGGTTCAACCAGCTGACATTTGTAGGTCAGGTAAATATAGTCTTGGTTCAACCAGCTGACATTTGTAGGTCAGGTAAATAAAGTCTTGGTTCAACCAGCTGACATTTGTAGGTCAGGTAAATAGTCTTGGTTCAACCAGCTGACATTTGTAGGTCAGGTAAATAGTCTTGGTTCAACCAGCTGACATTTGTAGGTCAGGTAAATAAAGTCTTGGTTCAACCAGCTGACATTTGTAGGTCAGGTAAATAAAGTCTTGGTTCAACCAGCTGACATTTGTAGGTCAGGTAAATAGTCTTGGTTCAACCAGCTGACATTTGTAGGTCAGGTAAATAGTCTTGGTTCAACCAGCTGACATTTGTATGTCAGGTAAATAAAGTCTTGGTTCAACCAGCTGACATTTGTAGGTCAGGTAAATAGTCTTGGTTCAACCAGCTGACATTTGTAGGTCAGGTAAATAGTCTTGGTTCAACCAGCTGACATTTGTAGGTCAGGTAAATAAAGTCTTGGTTCAACCAGCTGACATTTGTAGGTCAGGTAAATAGTCTTGGTTCAACCAGCTGACATTTGTAGGTCAGGTAAATAAAGTCTTGGTTCAACCAGCTGACATTTGTAGGTCAGGTAAATAAAGTCTTGGTTCAACCAGCTGACATTTGTAGGTCAGGTAAATAAAGTCTTGGTTCAACCAGCTGACATTTGTAGGTCAGGTAAATAAAGTCTTGGTTCAACCAGCTGGCATTTGTAGGTCAGGTAAATAAAGTCTTGGTTCAACCAGCTGACATTTGTAGGTCAGGTAAATAAAGTCTTGGTTCAACCAGCTGACATTTGTAGGTCAGGTAAATAAAGTCTTGGTTCAACCAGCTGACATTTGTAGGTCAGGTAAATATAGTCTTGGTTCAACCAGCTGACATTTGTAGGTCAGGTAAATATAGTCTTGGTTCAACCAGCTGACATTTGTAGGTCAGGTAAATAAAGTCTTGGTTCAACCAGCTGACATTTGTAGGTCAGGTAAATAAAGTCTTGGTTCAACCAGCTGACATTTGTAGGTCAGGTAAATAGTCTTGGTTCAACCAGCTGACATTTGTAGGTCAGGTAAATAAAGTCTTGGTTCAACCAGCTGACATTTGTAGGTCAGGTAAATAAAGTCTTGGTTCAACCAGCTGACATTTGTAGGTCAGGTAAATAGTCTTGGTTCAACCAGCTGACATTTGTCTTTAAGACAGACACTGGCCAGAAGTTATGAAAGACAATTTGCTAAAACAAATGAAGATTAAATTCATTGTGTACCTCTATATACCTTTGTTTTTAGTTTTTTTTTTTTGCTTTCTATAATTGATAGTTCACATAGCATGGCTGACAGAAGCCAGTTAACATAATGTTGGCTGCTGTTGAAGGTTGTGAGGAAGACAGTTTTCCAAAAAACAGAGCTAGGAAGTTGTCCAAGCAAGATGCAAAACTGACTGCTGAATCAGTCTAAAATATATTGCTGTAACATTAAAATTAGCATCGAATTTAAGAAATAGTTGCATTCATTTAAATTGTAACAATACAATTTGTCCCACTCCTTAGGTGGGGCGTATTGTACTTGTGTGACTGGGGGGGGGATACATTTTATTAAAAAGGTATTTTAAAAACTGAATTTTAACTGGTTTTTAACACATTTTTATTACTTTAAATGATAAATAAATAATTCTAATTATCAGCATTATTACTATCCGTGCTAAGTGAAATTCAAAACAAACGAATATTTTTCGTAAAGCAAAGTTGGGGGAGATGACGTCTTTTATGAGTGATCGTTCTTTTTTTTTGACGAAAAGATGAGAAAATAATCGTAATCCCCCTAGTATGGATGCTAAAAACTGACGTCGGTTTGGACATTTTATGGTCTAAGGGAAGTAACCATGAAATTACTGTTTTTCTTTTAAATCTATACAGAGTTTATTCCCTTCAATTAAAAAAAAATGTCTTTATAATACCTTTTTAAAAAATTCCAACATTTTGAATCAAAATGATATAGATCTAGATTCTACATCTATTAGTAAAAAAAAAAAACTTTCAAAAAGGAAAATCCCAACCCATACTAAGATCAAAACTGTTGTTTTTCCTAGAATACTAAGAACATTTTTTTTTTAAATTTTTGCTGCACTGTAAACTAAAATTAATAAAACAATCTTTTCTAAGACGATTACTACTCATTTTAAGCTATTAATTTTCTCTAAAATTTTCAGTTAATAAACGTGAAAACAAATAGTAAAGGGTTTTAATTCTAGCATTACTGAACATATTTTCTGTCATTTCCCTTTGACCATAATTAAATATTTTTTAATGTGTAACTATAAATTATATTTATTGGTTTATACACATACATAATTATTTGTAATATAATCTCTGTAATAATTAATTATATTCCAGTGGCACAATCTCTGGATGCTTATTTTTCTGGAATGTTTTCAGAAAAGGGGGTCGAACAATTGTTGAATTATGATGGCAGATCTGGGGTTTTCTTAGATTTGCCAAACATGAACTAATAATAGACTCCAATTGCCAAAATGCATAGAATTTCCAATAGCCTCTGTTGAGTCTGACACTCGTGATAGCAAAAATTGGTTTGAAAATAAACTACTAGAGACAATCGACCCTTAGTAGATCTTGAGAGATAGCACATGCTGTTTCTGGTGTTGGGAAAAAGATCTTTTTGTGTCTGCCTCTGGTTGTAATTTTATTTTTTTAAGACAAAAAGGCCTTCATAAATGAATTATTTAAATCTATTTACTAATTTACTTTGTTCTGTGGTAATTTTTCTTTTACCAGCAGGCAAGAAAGTATGTCTCCACAAGATAAGTGAACAGCAGACACGAATATTGTAGATAAAGGAGAAACATGAATATTTGTATATTACTGTGGTATGCTGGGATATATGATTACAACAAAAACTAAACTAGTTTTCAAATGTGAACAAGTTTTTAATTATAAAAATACTCTTAGTATACAAAGAATTAAATATAATAGCTTGTATTATTGTATAGTTCAGAAAAACATAATTTAATAAGTACAAAGTAAATGTAGAAATCTATTTTTATTTGATTTAGTTAAGAAGAACAATTCTTTAAAGGTACATAGTATCTTATGTAATAGATGAAATAAAATTAAAGCAAAGTAAAAGATGAACTTAAGTTAAAATAAGAAAAAAAAAACACATTGCAGAATCAAATGGTTAATTCCATTAAAGTTTCAATATGTAACAAATACTCCTGGGTTATAACACTGAGACCTGGACTGTATGTCAAGAAATGATGTAGTAAATCTGATAAATTCTTATGTCTGGTAAGATGTGGAAACTCAAGTTTAGGAGTAAGAAGCCTTGAACGATTGTTCTCTGATGTTCTATCTGAAATTTTAAAAATTCTTTAAGCACTTTTTCAATTACTGTGTGGAAGTGATTTTTAAAAAAATAAAAACCATTTCTTCCTCTTATAAAGTCATATTTTATTATTGTGAGAGAAAACTAAATGAAACAGAAAAGTAAATTTCCATAGTTCTATTTCTAAACCTTTTTATTTTATACAAAAATGTTATCTTACGTTTTGTAGATTCAATGACACTGTATAGAGTGAAGTACAACAGGACACTTAATTCTTCCCGCCAATCACAGCTTGCATTGTATAACTGCTCCTGGTTATAACAAAATAGAATCAAATATTTGAGGAATTAAACATTTTAAAAAATAGGAAATTTGACAGTTAGTAGAATGAAAAATTGAAGGATTTAATATTTGGTAAATGTAGAAACACTTGATTAAAACAATAACAACAAATCCAAACAATATTTTACATCAGAGCTAAATACAGAAGCTTAATAAGAGAGAAAAAGCCTGCATATACAAGACAAAGGCACAATAAGAGGGAAAACTACATGACAAAAGCAACATTAAAGGAAAAAACATACTTAAAAATGGAGGAAAACCCATCACTATGAATAGGTAGTCCAAACTGGCGAAAAAGTGCGTTTTAGGGTCAGTTTTTGCGGTTTTCAAAAAAAAAATTTCACTACTTCTAGTTGTCCTATAAGAATAAAAATTATATGTCAATAAAGTTTAAGTCTTTATCTGTCGTAATCTGGTATTTTTATATCTGTAACACATGTTTGAATGTGTTTTATATTTGTTTGAAAAGTATCAGTTACGTCAACAAATTTCACCGTTTTGCGTGTACCGATCGACCCCACACTGTTTTATTTGGTCGCGGCTTCGCGACGAAGCATCGTAGAAGCATAATCTTAATGTCATTTTAAAGATCGAATTCTAGGCTATCGTTTGATGTATAAATTGAAAAAATAACTTGTTTATTTCATTTAAAAAATACAGATTTTAAACTTTAAATGACGATATATACACGGAAACAAACTAATTCTGTTTCAATTTTTACACCGATGTAAAGTTCAGTTTTATAACTACTTTGTGTTGTAAATTCAAGTATTTCTGATTTACGGTCGCGAAGCCGTACCCCCAATCAACATATAACCCTCGAGTCGACTTTCAGCCCCGAGTAAGTTGCTCGCCGAACGGTTTTAAAGGTTGACGACCGATGATGCTAAACGGATTTTACCCTTGCTAGAGCCTTCAAACAAGTTGTAAGTATCATTTTTAAAGTTTCATTTCCATTTTAATAAATGAATTTTAAGTTTGAATGTCAGTTTGGTTTAATTAGTACACGTTATTAATGTAAATTTGAACGCTACAAGTCCACGGTTTTAGCGTGTGAACTACGCTTGTACACAGGGTGTGTTTAGACGTGAAGCTATTTAATTCAGGACATTCTAGGGACTTAAAATATGGATGCACTTAACTATTAGATGCTAGTGTTTACTAATTCTTTAAAATCTATTGACTGGGATCAATGATAGGGTCGTATTACTACAGTTTATCTGGACTATCACGTCAAAATTATGAATCGACAAATTCAAAATGGCCACCAGACTATCCTGGTTACTATGTGGACGAACTCAATTATTTACAGGGAACGAAGGTTAAATACTTATAAAATACTAATGAAACACAAAAGAAATTTATAATTATAATAACTATACATTTTTATCAATGTATTTAAAACAAAAGACACTAAATTTGAAGGACTAATGTGATTAATTTTTTTATTTTCTGTTGTGCACTCTGATTCTGATTCCCCTGCTGAATAATGTGAAATGGTCTGCGCCAGTCTCCTTAATAAAATGTACCAGATCAATTTTTAGATGGTAATTTATTAAGATTGTACATGTTGTGACTTAGTTTTAAATGTTATATTAGTTGTAAGTGTAAGTAGTACTAGTAGTATTTCTCATTATTTATTTATTTTATATGCATATAATAGTAACAATGAAGGACAGTTAAGTTGTCCTATAGTATGTTGAGAACCACAGTATGGCATCTTCATCATTGGATATCTCAACCATTGTGGGACAAGCAACGATTATTTCAAATTTCATTCAGTAGAATTACTCTTAAAAATATATATAAAAAATATAAATTACTTTTAACAAAAAGGTGTTTTCAGGCTTTTTCACATGTTTCCAGTTATAGTCATAGGACAAATAGTAGGCCTACACAATAGGCTAGTAGTAAATTTAATTATATTTTATTAATCACTAAATCAATTGTTCGTTCCATAGCTGGAGACATTTACGGTGGCCTATCCAGAACTTTCCTTACAAGGGAAGGGAAGAAGGCCAAGACCCCACTCCCCCCTCCCCCCTACAATTCCCAAAACATATTACTTACTCTTGATGCTCCACAAGATCAAGGTTGAGGGAAACAAGACGTACAAAGATGTTCCCCCAAAACTGTTCCCCCAAAGCAGTTATCAGGTTTGAAAAGAAACCAAAGCATGTGGCATCAACTGCTGCATCACTTGTAGGCATCACGTCTTTATTTAACTACATTACATTACATTTCCTCTACTAAATTTTGATTCTGTTTCTCCTGCACTAGATAACTGTGGTATTTTTTAAAATAATATTTTAACTCATGTGATTTTTGAAAATAATTAACACATTTTTCCACGTCGATGTTACCAACACAATAATTTTAGAGTTATTCCAAAGCAAAAAAAAAAAAAAATTGAATTTTTTTTTTTTTTATGAAAATAAAAGTGACCAAAACGCATTTTTGTCATTTTCAATTATTTTTTTACCTTAGAAAGACTCATTTTAGACGACTGAAAAAAATTGGGCATATATATTACAAACTTTGCAGCAACTTTACCAATTTCCACACTTCTATGTTATTTAGTTTAAAAAATATGGGTTCTCAAAAATGGCACTTTTTGAAAATCAGTTTTTTACCAAATTTTGCTTTTTTAAAAATCGCATAACTTTTTTATTTATTGAGATATTTTTATAAAATTTGTGGCATAGACCTTACAATTAAACGTTCTTTCATGACATACTCACTCCAGAAGTCTGCAATCAATAGTTAATTTCAGTTTGGACTACCTACTATGAACAGATTTTGATTACTGGGGGTAGGGGTTGGAAGAAAGAGATGTAATGCAGCTAAATGAACACTGACTGAGCAATTACAGGTTGATGATCTTAGCATTGTTACTCCAAATGTTATTACGTGCCCACAGGTCCATTAACTCCATCACAGCTCTCCTCAGGGGTTGTGCCCCTTCCATCATCCCTTTGAAACATCCAGAACATTACCAAGCCAACAGAATTCAGTGCTGACACTAGCTATGTGTGGTAAAAGGGAAACAAGTTATGAAGAGGTTTCTATCTTACCATGTGTGGAACTGCTGTGAAATAAGAATCTTCAACATCAGCAAGAGAAGGACTTGGGTCTGTGATGTGTTGCACAATAAAGTGTGACTCAATGACACCACGAGTGACCAAACCAACCAGAGCTGGTGTGCCTGTGGAGCTGAGGAACAGGATCTTTGTAGACATGCTGCCTAGGGACTTGTACAGATCAATCAGCTTTGTGGAAATGTCTTTTAACACAAATATCTGTGACAAAAAAATTATACATTAACGCAATAGTTAGTTTATTTCTACAGTACTAATTTTTTCAATACTTATGTAGACTTGGTATCCCTGGTATCCTATTTTTTTTCATTCACACACAGTAGATAAAACATAGTATAAAGATTTGGTACCTTATCCTGAAGAGTTGCCTCTAAACTAATGGTCAGTAGTCGCTGTAGTTGGTAGATTTTTTCCAAATGTATAGCTGTTAAATCACTAGTAAATAAAGCTCCAAGTTCCTGTAAAATAGCTAGGACATTGTCCCTACTTTTGTACCAAGATAATAGAGAATAGGCAAGTGAATGTTGAATTTTGACATTGTCACACATGAGTTTGGTGAACAAATCAAGCTCTATTGACGTGAGGTACAGAGTGGGACTAATTTTAAATGGATCATCAATTATAATTATTTCTGGATGCTTCTGGTACGTCTCCAAAATAACAGTTAGAGCTGATTTGGGTGTCTGACTAGTAAACTCAACTTTTAACCAGGCATTTATAAGCAGCTGGACTGTTTCTTTTTTTGGTGAATACTTTGTACTAAAATCTTCCAAAAAATCAAATGCTAAATCTATGCATCCATCTTCTAATGCTATTTCTATGCACTGACTGTGGTAAAAATTAAATGGCTGCTTCGAAGGTTGAATTGAGCTTAGTGGTAAAAATGTAGATGAGTATTGACCAAAGATGAGATTCCTTTCAAGGTTGTTCATTTCATTTGTTAGTAGCCTGATGTGCAAGCTTGTGTTCCCTGGTATATCTCTGGCAATGACTTGTGAAAATGAAAATGTCTCAACTGTTTTGACTAGTGACAATTTATCTCTTTCCACATTTACATTATTTTTAAAGATTGTTTTTTTGTGACAGTAAAAGTTGGGTTTACTCAAGTTACTGCTCATTTGTGGGAGAATATTTTCCAGGTCTTCCATTATATCAGGCATTTTATTCTTCACTGGCAGTGAATATGCCTGTCTTTCATCAAGTATCCTCCGTTTTGATGTACATTTTTGATTATTTGAAAAATCTTTGCAAGGGAAATTTGATGAAACTTGATTGTATGAACCAGCTTGTAATTTGGAAGCCATTTGGAAACATTTAACTTCTTTGCAAACTGTATTTGAATTGAGGTTTTCTCTAAGTGACTGCTTGAATATGTTATTGTGAGATTTACATTTAGTAATTTTATTACATGTTCTATATTTCATACAGTCACACAGTGATATTATGAGGGATTTCTTAAAGCTTTCTTTACACTTCTCATTTGCATCAGAAGTCACTACTTGAAGTTTCGTTATAGGAGATTCAGTGTTTGATATTTTTAACAGATCTGGCAGTTCTTCAAAGCACGGGGCTTTGTACTTTTGTTGCTGATGATGTATTTTAAACTTTGTCTTTTTTGGCGGAGAAGTACCATTTTCTGTTCTACTAAAAGGATTTTCCTATAGAAAAAAAAATATTTTTTTAATTCGTGGGGCCAGCCACAATTAAGAAGATGATTATGTGCAATGATTAACATTAACAAACTTAACTAGCATGTGTAATGATTAACTAACTAGCATCATCAGTAATGTGTTATCTTAACTACTTGAACCAATACTGAAGTTTATGGCTTTAGAGTTTAGACTATTAGTTAGATCTAGAATCTAGTATCAGTGTCTGACAATACACTTTCAAGTGTTCTGTTGTAATGTCAAGTGTTAAGGCTAAGGGTAAAAATTTACAGTTGGGGCAATGGTAGGACTTTCACTTTAGGAGTTAATTATTAAATTAATAAATAAATAATAGAATCACTTAGATTATAGATCTAGTTGATTATATATAATAAGTAAGGCCCTAGCTAGATCAAGATGTCTAGATCTACTCTAGCTAGATCTAGATCTAGAGTCTACTAGACTAGATCTAGAGATATCTATTATTCTAGATCTAGATCTAGAATAGATTCTAATCTAGATTCTAGATTTGTTTTCTTAAACTTATTATCTTTTACTTTATTATTAATTATTAATATTATTAACTTACCAATCTAAATTTCTTGATCAGATTATTAGCCAGTAAATTTACACTTTTATGTTGGTCGATATTTGTAACTGTAAAATCATTCCAAACAGAGCTAGATCTAGATCTAGATCTAGATCTAGAAGTTTTATTTGGCTTATTGGCATTGACATCTGTAGCTGTTCTCAGCATTTTCTCGTGATGATCATTTTTATTTTCTTCGTCTGAGTCACTCTCAGAATTTATAACAGTAACGGTGTCAAGGACACTTACATTTTCATTATAAAAATCCAGCCAGTGGCGTTCCATTTGACTGGTGCCTGTAAAAATACCCAAAAAATCATGACAATATTTTTAAAATGATAATTTTAATTTGATTAATTATAGATCTGGGGTCAAGATCTATGGGTCAAAGGATAAATTTAGAAAAATATTATCGTAGGTATTTTTTTCGTAACAACCGGAACTGATTTGAAACATTTCAAAAAGTTTATTCCCCGCCAAGATTGCGATAATTATAAATGCAATAGGAAGCGTTGATAACGCCTTGCTATTAGTACGGCAACATTTAAGCAATATAAGCCTTTAAAGACCCATTTATATATATATATATATATATATATATATATATATATATATATATATATATATATATATATATATACCCTTATATATTTTGGCACTTGTGTGTGACCCGTACGTGTGTGTGGAGGGGGGGGGGGGGGTTCTCTGAAACTCGATTACGATCTTTGACAATAAATGATGATGAGATATCCCTCGCTGATTATAACAGAATACACAGAGACCCATCCTTACACAAAGAAACAAGCCTTTGTGTGCAGTGTTTCTTCCAGACTTTTTTCTCCGGGGGGGCACTTGAAATTTTCGGGGGGGGGGGGGGGGCGGTAGACTTTCTTCGGGGGGGGGGGGGGGGCGGACACTGTTAAAAGTATATATTTTCTATATAAATTATATAAATTTCATTTCGTTCGGGGGGGGGGGGGGGTGGTAAAAATTTTTCGGGGGGAAGAGATGCCTGGAAGAAACTCTGTGTGAATGTGCACTACTCCATTCGTTTCATGTACAGGAAGAATCTGTCTACAGACAATATTGAAAGTATAACTAGAAAATAGCAAAAAACATTCAGCAATTTTAATTTCCTTCTTTTATTGAAATCCCTGCAAAAACAGAATCATATGATCAGTGGCGGGGGGGGGGGGGGGGGGGTTACGGACTCCTCTGTAAAAAATGTTAATGTCATAAGGGGTCATCCATAAATGACGTCACGCTTTTTTTTGACGATTTTTACCTTTCCCCCCCCCCCTCCCCTCCGTCACACGTCGTCACAAAAAGCCAGACCCCCCCCCCCTAAAATGACGTCACACCTCAACCTACAACCCCCCTCAAAATTGCAGTTGAATTTTTTTTAAACATCGATATTTTTCTAAAATCTTGTCTAAACTATTACAATTTATTAAAACAGTTATCTAAAACGAGAAATAACGTCTAAAATTCGTTTTCTAACATTGCTTTTTTATAATGCAAAAGTGTCACGTCGCAACATCTGAATCCCCCCCCCCCCTCCCCTTCATCACACATCGTCACAAAATTACCGACCCCCCCTCCCCCCTACGAGTTACTTATTTAAATCTATTTCTGAATCAGCATACATGTATAACTGAATATGTATATTTAGAAGTCATCTAAAAACTGACACTATGTTAGTAACATTGTTACAACATCTAATAATTTACTAGGGAAACGATTTTTTTCCACTTGAATTAACAGGTGTGCACAAACGCAGGCCATTTGGAAATAGGATGAGGGGTGGTGGAACACCAATTGTAACTTGTATATATATATATATATATATATATATATATATATATATATATATATATATATATATATATATCTCGCCTCCACAGAACCAGACTATTGTATCTCCATTGTTCCTAATCCATCGAAGTAAAAAATATATGGCCATATCTCTTATCGTTATTATTAAACAATTTCACGTCCTTTACCTAATTTCAATGTCAGCACAATTCTGCTGTATCTAATTAAGCTAATTAACATGTCGGACCCAATTAGCTACCAGATAGGAGCTCATTGTTCCCTCCCACTCTCCGGTAACATTGGAGCACTTAAATCTTCGGGTGAGGGGGGGGGGGCAGTGTCTCTTCCAGACTTTTTTCTCCGGGGGTGGGGGGGGGGGGGTGGGCACTTGAAATTTGGGGGGGGGGGGCGGTAGACTTTCTTCGGGGGCGGACGGCAGACACTGTTAAAAGTATATATTTTCAGGGATGTGACCAGACCAGGAAAAAAAATTAGGTAATTTTCTTCGGATAATAACTCAATATGTTTTATCTACTTTTTATCGCGGATAAGCAGCTTCATACTGTTACTGTACTAATTAATTGTTTTATGAAGTTAATATTTTAAATACAAGAAGTTTATGTTACTCTAAAATAACATTAAAAGTCTTGTCTAATTGCAATTTAATGTTTACCTTATAAACAACTTTTTAAAAATTACAATGTAACAAAAGTAGCAATTAAGTTTTATTTTACCATTAAGCTAATTTAAATTTCTAGATGTACTCCTGTTTTCAATTTTTTAATAGGGGGCCTAATGCCTAATAGTAATAATCAATATATATTCTTTTAAAGATTGGATTGGTAAAAATATTTGTCTTCAACTGTAAAGACCCTAGATTAAGATTAGTTACAATTTGAAAGTTTTAGGTTCATGTGATGGGAAAATGAAATGGACCAGGTTAGCTAAAATTAGAAAGGGTCTGACGTGTGAACCAAAGTTAACCATTTTGATAGCCAAGCCACATCGATATTTATGTTTTTTTTTTTTTTTTTTTTTTTTGAATAGCTGTAAATTGTTAGGGGTCATCCACGGTTTTTTTTGACGATATTTACCTCCCCTCTCTCCTACAAAAGCCAGACTCCCCCCCCCCCCCCCCCCACACACACACAGTCTGAACGTATTTTTTCTTCCACAAACAAGACACGGTTGTAGTCACGTTGAGTTTAAGCCTAGTATTTTTTTTAATCTGTATGCCTACGCAGCATACGTATTGCAGGAACAGCAATTTGAAATTGACTGTGACGTAATTTTTTTTTCCCACAAGCAGTACCGAAAACGTACTTGGGGTCAAGGTGAGGTCACAAGAGCCACCGTTAATACGAGGTGGGGCGGGTTAGTCTAGTCTTCATAGTCACCTTTTGCAAGGATTTCAATATTAATTTGAGATTGCGAAATAAAATCGAATCAGAGAGAAACTCTAGATTTAGGCGGGTTAAAATACCGATAGGTAAATTAGGCTATATCGATAGCTAGATTACCAGGCTTAAGAGATGTAAGTTTTAATTGAATAACTGCATTATTATTTTTCTAGCTTAAACATGCGCACGGTTTGATAAACTGACCTACGTTTTCTTGCTTGTTAGGTATATATATATATATATATATATATATATATATATATATATATATATATATATATATATATATATATGAAGCTAGACTTTAATATTTGACTAATTTGGAACCACCAAATGTGTGGCTAGTGGTTCCCCCGCGTACAACAACTGAGTTGAGTGTCAAAGTGATCTCCCCTTAATTCACGCGTGTCGTGCTATTCAATTCCTCACCTGAACCCAGTGGCGTAGCCAGGATCGTCTCAAGGGGGGGGGGGGTTCCAATTTTTACCCGGGGACAAACTTTCGATTTGCACCCCCCTCAAACTTTCGATTTGCACCCCCCCCCCCCTCAAACTTTCGATTTGCACCCCCCTCATACTTTTTATATATACCGGGGGGTCTATGGGGGGGGGGGGGGGTTATGACCCCCCCTAACCCCCCCCCTGCCTACGCCACTGCCTGAACCTAAACTCTTTATTGCCTACGTTAATTCAATTCCTCACCTGAACTCTCTGTTGCCTACGTGTTATCTATGTGATGTATATTTTCTTTTTCACTAATTCTATCGCTAACTCTGCTTTTGTTCTTGACATTTCTTATTATCTTGCAATGGCGGAATTAAAAAAAAAAAGGGCTACCCCGCAAAAAAAAATTTTGGGCCCCATATTATATATATATATATATTATATATATATATATATATATATATATATATATATATATATATATATATATATTATTTTTTATTTTTATTTATTTATATATATAAGAATAAAATAGGACCCTGTATATATATATACATAATATATATATATATATATATATATATATATTATAATTATATATATAATTTATTTATATATATAAAAATAAAATAGGACCCTGTATATATATACATAATATATATATATATATATATATAGGGTCTCATTTTATATATATATATATATATATATATATATATATATATATATATATATATAGGGTCCCATTTTATATATATATATATATATATATATATATATATATATATATATATATATATATATATATATATATATATATATTATTTTTTTTTTATTTTTTTTTTTTTACTTTTTACAAGCGTCATTTGTGTGAGTGCTATTAGTCTGTTTTGAAGTTCTCTGTTTTAATGGCTGACATATTGCTTCCTAATTAAAAAGTTGGTCAAAAGAATAGGAAGCATGAAAGTTTTGTATGTGTAATGGTTTCTCGTCTTATGTTTATTTGTATGATTTTTCGTATAATTACATTATTAGTTTTTAATAAATTTCCTTTTTATTCTATGTCATTCTTTATTATTTATTTTTTTAAAATAATTATGAAGAGTAGTACTTGCTTTTTAATTTTTTTATTGCAAATCTATTAAACATTTCTTAAGAGCACACATATTTGACTATTTAAAAAAGGGAAAAAAATTCATGGAAGTGGTTTGAACGTTTGCCTATCTTTCACACTACAAATCACGTAGCCTATATATTTTTTTCCTTTACAAAACAGCGTGTGTTAGCTACTGTAGAAACATTTTTACTGTAGAAGATCTGTTTGTTTTTTTCACAAGAAAATTATTATTTTCTTAACTATAAAAAATTGATTATGGTCGGTCGTGGGCCCGTAAACGGCCTAGGCCCCCATCGCATTGCGTGGTCTGGCGGCACTGTAGTTCCGCCCCTGCTATCTTGTTTCCTATCCTACTCTCTATAGATGTTTCAAATTCTTCTACTGTTTTGTCTAATGCTACGCCCTGTTTATAGTATCCCAACTCTGCCCCCCCCCCCCCTGGTTGTGTTTGTGTGTGTGCGTGTGTTTGTGTGTGTGTGTTGAGGAAAGTAAAAAAAAAACTAAGGCAACAGGGCGTAAC